AAAAATCTGTAATAATTAATTTTGTTTAATTTATATTTGCTTTATGTTAATCGAAAGTTCTCCACTGACGCAAGTATCTAATTCTATCTATAAAATATTTTGTTCTCTTACAAATTTATGTTTTGTAATATAATTTCCACAGATAATCTTAACTAGTAGCTCAACTATGTGTATGAATGCCAGAGGAGATGCAGATTTCGCAAACACTTTTATTAAACATTTAGATTCATAAATTAATGGTATAATTTATATTTATTTTTTATAAAATAATCTATGAAACGTGATTAAAATTACTATTTTTAATATATATTGTATGAGATTGTATGTAGCCAATAACACACATATGAGCATATTAATAAGTTTATTTAAAAAAAAAATCAAAAAAATAATTTAGTACAAATGCCTTCTTTAACAAGTCTTATATATAATTTTAATAAATGATTAATTGTATATAATTTAAATTTAAATGATAAAAATTTACAAAGTTGAAGTAATTATATATTTTATTAATGCATATATCAAAACAGCTACTGCAGTTTTGAATAAAATTTATGATCTTAATCATCGCTTGATGAGAACGAAAACTTTTCCCATCAAACGATTGAATTTTATTTTCTAACAAGTTTTAGGTTAGGATAGTGTTGTTATTGGATGATTTCATGGAAAAATGCTAAAAGCCTTTGGTTAAATGGAACAATAAAGAACTAACACTCAGTCCCTATCAAATATATTTATTAATCGCTTGAAATCTTAAATGAATTGATATATCAGTCAGGCCTTCCGTTAGTGAAACAGTTCAGAAATAGAGTACGACTCAGAGAATTAGTATACCATAATAGTGTTTAAATTAATTATATCTCCTTATGACTCACAGGTGTTACAACTAAAACATCTATTTATATAAAAAGTCTTTAATTATTTCCAGCTCCGATAACGAAAAATCGTTTAATATCAGTACTGGTAGATTCTTTGTTTATATGAACGTTATAACGATTTGAAGCTCCCCACAGCTTTTATTTGGGTTACTTAGTTTTAAGAACAGACATGTAATCTTTCCGACAAGATGTCTTTATTTCTTTCGTAATATAGGAATTAATAAATGATTCATAAATTATTTCCTAATAAATATAGCATTTATTTATTATTTTGTTTTTAATTATAATTATAGCATTTATTTATTATTTTGTTACAAATATTTATTATATTTATATTATTTATATTTATAACAAAACATCAATAATTTCCGACATAAAAGAGAAAAACTGTCAATATACTATATAATTTGCTATGATAGACAAAATAATAAAACTTTTCGTCTCTTTCTATTTTTCTGCATTTATTTGTTCATTTTTTCAGGGATGTATCTTTTTTCTCTCTTCTGCTACACCATTTATTACTATAAAGTAAATATTTTCTTGACCATAGAGAAGGAAAATAAATTCCACAACACTATTGTCTTACAACGTCTCATTTATTCATTCCAGCACGTTCTCAGGGGAACATTGGGCCATTATAATGTCTTATAAATCATTTAAATTTTGTTTTTTTTTTACAGCAAGACCTGTGTGTGGGAACCTTATTAGTCGCTGCGATTCTTAGATATATGGCGATATATGGTTTGTAGACATATTATAATGGATGCAGATTTCTCTTTCTGCATTGTTGATTTTAAGGTCTTGGTATAACCTGCCTAACATTCGTAATGCTTTTCATTGGTACCTTTGAATTATTTCTACAATTGATTTTCTCTGGATCTCTATAATTCTATACCGAATTTCCAAGTCGTTTGCAATGCAGTTCAGAAGTGTTCATAATTAATAATACTAATAACATGTTTATTTTAGTCCCATTTGTGTCTTGTTAATAGAATTTTATATTCGATTTTTAACAAATTCTTCCAATGTAGGTCAACTACACTGCTTGTAGAAAGATGGAAATGTGGTTGGAAAGACTTGTGGTTGAAAAGATGGAGACTTAAAACAAACCCGTACAAATCAATCCAAGTAACAAGCTTATATTCGTTTACTGTATCGACAATAAATATTACAACAAATATTTTCGCGAAGTGCATACCTTCGGCTAAGCAAATGTTTACCAGCTAGGTAAATGTTGTATTAAATTAATCCAAGAACACTTGTGAAACTCTGGAGTAATATTATTTATTATTATTATGTAGGTGTATGTACTGCGGCTTTAAGATCTTTTATGCCCCTACTGGACTTAAAGTGTTTCTGTAAGCCCCATTACCTCGTTAAACCGTATTATAATTCCTATTTCAACGAATCTCTTAGAAAATTTTGTATAAATTTATTGATTCCTGATATACTTTATTAACAAAGTGTTTGTTATTTATGTACGACTGGAGGAAAATATAATATAAAAAGGATACAACATTTTTGAAATAAACAAAATAACAATCTTTATTACTAAAATTAATGGAATGGTAATATTCATTAACATTTAAATTAATTTTACTGAAAATTTGGCTTAAGTAAGTATAAATGTTAAACAGGTCTGTTTAAAATGTGAAATCCTCATATTTAAAGTTTCTACAGGCATCCAGGTAGTATAAAAATTTTGCAGATAATATTATAATTTGTAGGGATTGCTTCTCATCTCGACTTACTCGATATATAAATATAGTTATAGATATCATACTTTCATTAACTAATATTATGTTGAAGCTATTTGAGCCAGTGCACTTTTACTCTTTCTTATCTTGAGGTATTTTTCAAACCCCTCATTACGCCTTCACTAGATTATTGTTTATCACTTCATCAGTCTAAGCAATAATTGACCTCAGAACTGCATACCTCTCCGATGAGTCTGTAACCATACTGAGATTTGATAACGCGGTGTTATTAAGTCTGTCAGTTTTCGCAAATAATTTCAGGGCTTTATCCTTTATGTATTTTTTGATGGGATCAATCTTGAGGTCCCTAAGGATGTCATTCATCCTAATGTACCATGGTACTTAGAAAAGTCTTCTCAGAGCCTGACTTTGTGCAATTTCTAGCTTGTAGTAGTGTTTGAAGCTTTGCTAAACGCTACACAACCATATAGAAGTGACGGACGAATTATTTGGTTATACTTCAGTTTCCTGTTCTTAGCATTGAGATTTTCATTTCCGAATAGCGGTTGGAGGTGTTGAAGAATATTGGCACATCTAATTCTTTTCAGTTAAACAAGTTTAAGCTTTGTGAATCGTTTGTCAAACGTGATGCCCAGATATTTAAAGCTATCCTCTCAGTTTATTACCATATCATCCACTCTCACTCTCGACGGATTCTGTGTCCACTAACTAATACTGGTCTTAAATTTGCTGTTCAAAAATCAGTAGTTTTGATAAAAAGTAAAAAGTATGAAAATAAAATAATCAAGATGTTAAATAATAATTCGAATAATAATCGCACTGGAAGTAATTGTAAAATTGATGAAGGAGGTGTAAAATGTATATCTAATATAGTTAATTGCAGAACTTTACCGATATGAGCAAATACTGAGTAGACTGAAAGTAGTACCTATCAGTAGTAGCAGTAATAGTAATAGCAACAGTAGTAAAAGTAATAGTAGTAATAGTAGTAAAAGTAATACTAGGATTAGTAATAATAGTAGTAGTAGTAGTAGTACCTGCCAGTACAAGCAGCGAATGGGTATTGTTGCTGGAGTAAAGTGCTTACGTCAAATTTAAGTATTTGAATTACTGAAGATAATATATTAGCTTAGTTCAATTCTATGAAAGTTTTTTATTTTATTATTACATATTTTATTATATTTTCATAAATTTTTCATATCACATTTTCGGATTAAACTACTTGTAAATGCTAGTTAGGTTAAACTGCTGTTGTAGATACCAAGATATTACCTATAGACCGACAAGTCCTGAGTCCATTAAATTAAAACTTTGAAAAAAAAAAGATTAAAAAGTCCTGATCGATATTATTTACAAAAACTTAATTCCTGAAAAGTTAAAAAATTTTGTGAATTTGTGAGGGAATTAGGAATTTCCTGTCATAGTATATTAATTTCTTAACCAGAAGTGTTTAATACATTTCTATTCGTATTAAAGATTGTAGGTAAGTTCTGTTATGATACTTTTGAATGGATCCCTTTGTTTTATAAACTGATCCTTACTTTAAGTTCTTGCTGACATAGTTTATTTGCTACATTAGCTTAGTATATTCGTTGACTTCTTAATTTGCCAGTCAACACACTTAAACCAAATTAGTGCATTGTAATAATTCTTGATCCCATTGAGGACACTAAAAATAATATCTCTGATGTGTATCATACCAATGATTTTTTTTTCACACTATCGCTTTAAAAATATAAAGTTTTTCTTTTAAAACTTGCAGTATTAGTGCTTCATTTTATATATATTTTGCGTAACTAATGTCACAGTAATTTATTGTTTCCTTTTATTTTTATGTTATGTAAATTCTTTTTTACTGATATAAGCACTACATTTTATATTTAAAATCACTCGGCTTAACGAATCAGCTTTAATATAACTTTGACATAATCAAAGTTATATGGCATTTACTCTCAAAGCGCAAGCTAAATCCTTTAATGGCTTAGCGCATTTTGGTTCTAGCTATGCAGCCGGATGCATATGTTTAACACTCAATGAATCGATTGCAGTTGAATGATTTAATCAGTGTGTTTTTTATGTGGTACTTAAAACTTATATACTTTCGACTTTTTATGGCAAAACTCATAAAAATCATGCACACGTTTTTATTTAATTATAAAAGCATCTAAGTATAATAGCTTTAATTTGTTTTATGAATATACAAACATAAAGTTAAGTGAAAACATATTTAAATAGCTTTTTGGAATTTGTTATTTATTTAGCACATTTCGAGAGATTCGCAAAGTTAGAAACCAATAATGACTTAAAAAATTAAACGACTTTAAGTACACAAAGACAAAAACAACTTAATAGAAATATTAAAAAATTTGCATTTAAAAAGATAATCAATTGTGTGACAAGACTAGCTTTACCACCAGCCACTGCTGCCGCCACTATAACCACCCCAGCCGCCTCCAACGCCGCTTCCCCAGCCACTGTTCCAGCCACCACCATAACCTCCACCATGACCACCATAACCTCCGCTGCTAACGCGCACCACTTTAACTACTTTGGGCACTGAATAACTACTGCCACCATAACCACCATAACCACCCCAACCGCCACCATAGCCGCCACCACCATAGCCGCCACCGCCATAGCCGCCACTCCAACCGCCCAAGCCAGAACCACTCCAACCAGAGCCACCGCCAATGTATCCAGCTGATGCAACAGCAACGCAGATTACGCACAACACAAACAGGACTTTCATTTTCTGTGGCTTGCTTATCTAGTCGGCCCGCAAAATAATTAATTAAATTTAGTTAAGCACTTGAGGTATGAATTTCAAACTCGTAACTGATATCGAAATCTAAGCAACGCCCGTATTTATACAATACTTAAAAACGTCACAAGCCGACAAGCCGACAAGAATAAAGTAAATTGTTAACTATTAAAAGTAAACAGACGGACGACGGATGAGAGCATGGCAAACTGTCGTAAAACGCCGAGCGCGTCGGCCACCGAAAAGCAGAGAAGGTGTGCACGCTGCGATCTAGAATATATCACGGTCAACCGCTAGTTGCTTAAATAAGTGTATCTTCTGCTCCAACTTTTACGGGCACTACCGCTGCCTGAGCCATCATCTCAGCTACTGTTGTGAATGCGTTTACGACGGACGCGGACGCGGACGTGGACGCGTACTCACACTTAAACTGCACTGCGTCAACAAAATTTATTAACGTGACACTCGAATTCATCATAACGCAATCCGCTTGCACTGGCTGCCGCTTGTAATACTGGCCTGGCTTACAAAGTACACAACCGCAAAACACAAGATACAAATTGCAAAAAAAAAAAAGAAAACAGAATGTTTAATTAAAAATAAACAAACACACAATATGTAGTAAAAATAAAATTAAGTCAAAAATAGTTGCAAACTGAACATTCATGTTAATCCATTACTTTTTTCTGCTCGCAATTCGTTTGGGATTTACAATTTTCCGCTTCAGTCGCAGTTTCTGCCTACGAACGAGTCAAGTTAAATGTAGGAATCGCATCTTTGAGGTCGTTTGCTTTCAATGCGGTTCGAAGGTATGCTTTGCAGATACTTTGCAACCCATCAGAGACTTACTTCTTTGTTGTGAATCATCACTTTTACTGCCGTACAATTTTAATTAAGCAATAAACAGATTCATAGTCGTCGTACTCATCACTCTTTTCGGTATCCAAACATTATCTGTAGATTTTTAATTGCGTGCGTTTTCGGAGCACATAGCAAGCAGAAAACCCACAATTCATGTTGGAAACTAATATATATTTTTTAACTTTTAAATTAAAAATACTTCAAATAATTTATTTTAATATAAAATAAATCATCAATGCATTTGTTGGTTATACAAAAATTTTCACTTATAATATTAATGCCTCCCTCCCACATAACACCCATAAGTGGGGAACGCGTAAGTTTAATTATGGTTCCTTCTTAAAAAGAAAATACTATATTTTTTTTAGTTTTTTATTAATACCATTTATATTATTAATTATTTATTGCATTTCGAACTAAATTAAAATCAAGATAAATAATTCCAGTTTTTGAAATAAATAGTCAAGGCGCCAAAAAGTTGCTTATTTGTCTCTCATTAGAGGTAAATATTTTTAAAACTTGAGTTATTTATAGTTTACATTTAATTCATATAACATACTATTTATAGACTTAAAACCACAAATAATTTTGTGCAGATAATATTAGAATTATTAATTACACACACATAAAATTGTAACTTCAGCCGTGATTTTTTCTTTCAGAGTTGTAAAAAAACAGCACTAAGTCTAGTTGAAAAAAATTGGCAACACTTTGGAAATATGTTAAATGCGTTGTTTGTCATATTATATAATAATTTTAAACACTAAAAATTAATTAATTTAAATAAAAGAAACCAAAATAAATATAAGAAAAGCAATGGTAAACATTTTTAGGTTATATATTTAAATTAATAAATTTATCCATGTGTTCGTATCCTGGTACTTGCAGTCGCAAAAATAATTATTTACGAATAATTAAATACAAGAATTATTTTCAAGACCACTGATGATGGGTAATTGGCAATACTCGAAACAGCTGTATGGTCAGCCAAAAATTCAATTAATTAAAATAATATAAAAAATAAAATTTTTGTTGTTGTAGTTCACTACTGTTCGAAATAACCTCTTTTTAAATTTATGTATGTTTTGATTTTATTAGTATACGAAATGCTTTTATGATTTTAAGGGACGATTCACAATAGATCGATTTTTGAATTTGATAGTACTAAAACTTAAGACTTAAAATTTTTTTGCGAGTAAAATTTAACTCTGAAGATTTTAAGAGTATTATTATTGCTTCACATTTTTACTTTCGTTAGTTGCGAGTATTTTTTTGCTACTCTGAAAGAAAAAAATTATGGCTTTTGTTAATTAATGACATCGATTGATTTACTATCGATTGTTCCTTTAGCTGCAGGAGAACTATTGACATAGATTATTATGGTTTGTTAGCTAATGATGTCAAACTAAGTTGATATTTCTGTTCAGTAAGGTTTAATAATTCATTATGAATCGCTTAATGCTTAATTTACTTTGTAAAAAATAAATCCGTTTCCGAAATTTATACATCACTTCGTCCATTTTACGGTCAACATAATTAGTCGAGCAAGCAAGCAATTTGTGCAGTTATTAATTATATGTATGTTGATCCTTTTTTATTTACACTTTGATAGCTGGGGGTACTACAGGGTCCCACCCACCTCATTGACTAATTTTTGAATTGCCTATTAGCTTCATGATTATTCAGTGATTGATCTAAGATCTGTGTACCTCCCCGTGCGGAGAGTGATTAGATAGTGGTAAGTAGAATAGACTGCCAATTTTTGCATATAACTTCAGGGCTCTGTCCCTTATGTATTTTTTTATCGGGTCTATTCTAAGGTCTCTTAGCATGTCGTTTATGAGGATGTACCAAGGCACTTTGAAGAGTCTTCGGAGAGCCTGACTTTGAGCGACTTGTAGCTTTTGTATAATAGAGTCGGCAGCTTTGCTATAGGCACTAATTTTACACTTGATTCAAGACCATCAACAAGCCAAAGAAATATGGGTACCGAAGAGATTATGATGTTGTGCTGCTGTAACATGAAGTGTTGAAGAAGACACCGAAATGTCGAGTCGTCAACGTTTGGAAAATTTTACCTAAGGATTTTAGCTTACGGGCATATAAAATACAGCTCGTGAAAGAATTAAAGCCAAAAGAACGTTTGCGTCTCAGTTTTTCTGATTGAGTTCATTTAAAACTGGCCGAAATTGAGCATTTTTATCGAAGAATTCTTTTTAATTATCAAGCTCATTTCGAATTAAATAGCTAGGTCAATAAGCAAAATTGTCATATATTGAGCAAAAGTTATCCTCAAACCATTTACAAATCACGATGTCACTATTTCCAAATCTTTTTCTTCTTTGTTATATGATTAAATCCTGTTTTGTATTTTTATCCGAGGAATTTATTGTTCTTTTTGCATATATTTAACTTCAGATAGATAGATTGCTGATCTCGTAAGATTTTTGGTCCTCTACAAGTTGGCGGCAACTACCGTGTCCGAATAAAACACGAGTTGTACGTACTTTATCATGACATAGATATAATTCAGAGCATTAACATTCAGCGGCTTCCCTGGCTTGGTCATATCGTGAGAATGGATGAAGATGCTTCCGCGAAAAAGGCATTTGAAGCAGTAGTTGGAGGAATATGACATAAAGGTAGATCCTGTTTCCGGTGAAGTGATCAGGTTGAGAGAGCATTAACCGGACTTGATGTACCGGCTATTTACATTTGCAAATAACAACAACTCTGATTTTGACGAGCCCCTGATTTTCTGCATAACATGACCCTAAGAATTTGTTTCGTTTAATTATCGATTAAAGGGTCGCTATTTTGATTTAAGTTGAAATAATGCCCACTGTTAAGACCCACTGTTAATATTTCAGGGAATCAAAAAAATTCTTCTTCTGATGACAGTGATAAGAAATCTTAACTTGAGTATATATAAAAGTTATTACATATTCAGTAGCTTTTAGAATAAATGAATATGATCTGAATGCAGATGAAATTTGTTCTGTCATAATTCCAGATATTGTCATATACGATACTTAATAAAGATTTTCTTTTAATAGCAACCCTGAATTGAAGATAATTCTGGCGCGCTCTGCACAATATTGTACTTTGTTATTTAAATGCTATTGTTTTTAAAAATACTCGTACTCGAATTTACAAAAATATGAAAACAAATAAACATTGAGCAAATCTTCTTACTGCCTCCCACAAAATGGGGGTCATTCATGTTTATGCCTCATTCACTTGAATTTATTTATTTAGGCCCCAAACGTAATGAAACGCAGCGGATGTTGTGGCTTCGTTCAGATACATTGTTTTTGCTATTTTTTCTGCTATTTTTGTTGGATTATAATTTTTTCTATTAAATTTGAATTTTTATGTATTAATTAAATTTAATTGAACCGCTTATTTTAGCTGTCGTTGCTTGGTGTTTAGACATGTTTATGTGATAACTAACGCGCGATGTTACAGAATAAAAAAGTAGCAGGCAAAAATGATAAGCCCATTCTCACTTATAAGTACTGAGTACTTCAGAATATTTGGTTGTATGAAAAATTTTAAAAAACTGTTAAAATGATTTATATTTTGTTATAAATTGTTTATATACAACTTCAATTTATATATACTTAGTACTTAATTTAATAATATATAGTTTTACGTATTCGTAACAGGCATGATATTCAAAGAAGATCTTTGATTGGAAGCCGGTCATTTAAATTTTACAGTGCAGATTTAATGCAGTTTTAAAGATATGATTAATAGATTTAAGGAAAAAGCACTTTTATTCTGAATTGCTGCACCGTCATTTACATTTCTTTTACATACCTAGATAGCTAAATTTTGAAGAGCTTTATTCAAGAATTTAATGCTATATGCAAGCACTTTTAAATTAAATGCTAAATAATTGTTAAATAATTAAAACAGTTAAGCCTCTGTTAACCATATTTGTGTTTTGAATGGAATTAGTGCTGACTTTGAATCATTGGTCCAATAAGTAAAAAAATATGCAACAATTGATAAGAGAGTGATGTCTCCCTTAATTTTAATTCCATGTAATCATCAGTTTCTTTCTTGTCACATGATGTCTTTATGTTCTAGCAAGTGATTTAAGTAATAACAATTTTCTTACA